AGGGGCAGGTCATTCCTTCTAGTCCAGAGACAAATTAAAGCAATAAAACATACTGTACAAAATAATTAACTGAATGCACAGAACTATGTAGGTTTCACCACACAGAATGTAGGAGAAACAAGTGCTGCTATACATTATCCAATTTGTTGAACACAGTATTTTCTATTGATTTTAACAACTTATTTTCTGCTGACTATTACCTAAGCTCCAGTGAAGGGAGAAGTTAAACACAGAAAGCTTTCCTGCTAACCAATTGTATTAGGAAATCACTGTGAAGAACAAAAGTGATCCTTGTTTCTTTAGTTAAGCCCAGGAGTACAAAGGCCCTCGGTTAACCCCTGGCCATCAGACTTTTTGCAGATTTGGTTGACCAACTGTTGGGTGCTGGCTAAGGAGCTGAACTGAAAGGACTCTAACCAGGTGACAGAGTGTCTGACTAGATTTTTCATAACTGACAGTATCAGAATGACAGCCGAAACATACCTTTTCTGGCATTTCTTCTGTGAGACATAGTCTTTCATCTGTAGGATTTAGTCTCTGATTTCCCAGTCGCTGTTGGACGTATTAACAGCAGACAAGAGGCATCAGGAATAACCTGTGCAAAACTATTTCTATGTTGTCCTGCTTGAATTTTGCCTAAACTGGTGTCCTAGCAAATTTTGTAAATGCTGAATCCACACATCACAAATGCCCCTTTTTCTTCCTTATTTTTTGTTGTGTATCCCATTTTGAGTCTTCCCAGCACACCTGGGAGTTAGAATCTCCTAGCTGAGTGCTGTTCCATGACAGCTTCATGATGTATTTTCCAATCATGTGAATTTATTGGTGCTTTGGAATGGAAAAGGGCATTATTAAGATGCCTATCTTCTGTTGAAGTCGTGTCTTGGAAAAAGTCAGTTCCTAAAGCAGGTTGGACCTGGGTGAAAATGAAGAAGGGGAGTTTCTGAAGAACATATGGGTACTGCAGGCGAGGAGGCTGGTATTTCTGTGGGTGACCAGCTCTCTTATGAGCTGCTAATGGAGAAGTTCCTCAACATTGCTCTGTGGTGGGCATTTTCACTGGAAATGTTTTGTCAGGCTGTCTGTAGTAAAACCAAGATCTTGTTCTCTTTTTTCCTCCTTTTTTTTCTTTTTTTCTTTTTTTTTCTTTTTTTTTTTCTTTTTTCTTCTTTTTTCTTTCTGAAGTAACAGAACATTCCACACTCTCCTGGAGTGACAGGCACTTAACTAATGCATTTGTATGAGTATTCTGGTTTTACTTATTTTCTATGATTGTCCTCAACTGTGATCACACCAGGCCAATGTATTTTTCTCAATTAATTGACACAGTTTTAATCTATATTGTACTCTGCCAAAAAAAAGTGAAAGCTCTCAGATATTCAGCAGAGTTCACTAATTTCATAGGAAGCAGGGGAAAAAATCTGGCTGTAAGCTCTATCAAAAAGGCTTTATAGATTTTAGTGTTCCAAGTTCCTTATAAATCAGTGTCTGGAAACTGCAGATATACATAAAATAGATTTTGCCTATTTTAGTATATACACAAATTACAGACTTTCCATAATGCATAGTTCATATAGGCAAAAATTTCTAGTGAAAAAGCACCTCTGCAAAGGGAGGTCAATTTTTGGCTCTGCCAGCAAAACAGGAGAGAGAAACCCATTCTAATAATGGTGATAGAGGGGATAACAAGCTGGGAGGTGGGATAATCAGAAAGAGGTTGTAAGTTGGATATCAAAGGAAGCAGAACATTGACAACATTTCCATCTTCATCATTTTATATCTGAATGTAATAGAGTGGATGCTATCATTAAAATAAACAAAAATAACTGCACCTGAAGTACAAAGAACTATAAATGACAAAATTCATATGGTATGAAGACGACAAGTACAGTGCTGAATAGAGAGTTCCCATCACCCATAGTGTTCTACACAAATCAACCAGAATTAGTGTGAGATTCTGTTATTGCCTGATCTGTTCTCTCATTTCAACTATCAGAGACAGAACAAAAGAAAAAGGAAGTAAATGCAGAAGCAGCAAATGTTTTGCAGAAGTGGTTAAGCGAGAGGTAGAGCTGAAGAGGTAGTTTCATACCACCCTCACCTTGCTGTTTCAGCAATAGTTACATTTGCTCCTTGCTGCAATGACAAGCTCAAATTATCATTGATAAATGTTAATTCTTTTTCTCCTACTAACAGTAAGCAGCTCCCGCTCAAAATCAATTTTAACTTTATTGGCAAGGCACTGCACATTTGTCTTCGCTATAACTGTGCTGCATAAAGGAACAATTGAATTGAAAATTAAATGAGCAATAATTGAAAGTAAAATGTGCCTTTTTAAAGGAAAATTAGTGCTATGCTAAATTTCCAGGAATCAGTTATGTTGGGGTTTTTTTCCTTAAAAAGGTAGAATGGGTTGGGCTAAAAAGTAAATTATATAAATATGTACACATTAATGTACATAATTAGAGGCGGACTTTAACCTCAAAGGGATACAAAGGCTCTCCAGTAACTTCCTAGGGTTTTAAATCTGGCAAAAGCAGTACAGTTTCTGTGATAATTATGCTTCCAATGCATTTCGATATGCTAATTGGATCTAAGTTCTAATTAGTTTATGTGACTAAGAACGATAATCACTGAATTAATTTAATGTACTTTTGTTTTGAACTTAGTGCCATTTTCAATATTGTTAATACAGAAAATGTAGGCTATAAAATGCTTTGCTTTATAGGTTGACAGTGGTTTATCACACACAGTCTATGGTGCACACACTTCAAATACATCCACTACATTTCACTGCATTATTACAGGTAACACACTTCAGCAGTTAGGTTATTCAGCTCAAAGTGTTGGAGGGCTTTGGCAGAGGAGTGATGAGCACCTGCAAAAGTCAGCAGTGCATCCGTACTGCTGTGAACAGCCAGACATGCTGTGGAGGTACAGAAGCAGCAGAGATGGCTACTATAATCTGTTGTTGGTCTTTGTGATCAGATGGGAACATGAAGTGGGGAAACCAAGCAGTGATGGTTTGTGCTTTCATTTAGAAATAGCTGTTGGAAAGATGAGTAATTGCAAGAGATGAATACAATGCCTCATGCTTTACTTCCTCCTCATATCCTATTGCTACTTCCAATGATTTCTGCTGGAGTTCTGAATCCAGTAGATCCTTGATTTAGTTATTACTTGAGATTAAAGGTATGCTAAGCATTACCCTTGCTTATTCCCTGATAATAGTGTAACCTTAACTTCAAAATGGTAAGAATTAGGACAGCTCTGAACATTCCTGCAAATGGCAGAGAGAAAGAACTACACTGTTTTAAGGCCATCTTCTATTGGAAAACCTATCTCTATATCTTCACAGAAAGGTTTGGGGTTTTTACTTCCTGAGGCACCCATTTCTTAGGAGGCATTTTCAAAGAATTTATATGAATTAGAAGTTGCTCTAAAATAGCCTAATGGGTGTAATGAAGAAAACAAATATTTCAAATGGTCCACTTCTTAAATTCTTAAATGTGTGTACTTGGAATTTGTTCCTTGGTTTGTGTCTCACTTTGAAAGATACATGAAACACATATACAAAGGCTTTTCCCATGAAGAACTGAAAATAATGCTTTCTGTAAAGTTGTGTTCAATCACATCTTCTCTCACAGACCCCTCAGATGGTTCAGGCACCTTGCCATTTCTGTGACTGTGCATTAAAGTAATGTTTTGGATGTTTTACAGTTGATATTTCCCACAGATTATAGGGTTGAATTCTCTGAGAGGCTAGACTTAGTAGAGGCCACTGGGCCAAGCAGTAATGTACAGGTGTTAATCTTGTTTCTGTCAGAGCAGGACCTTTTGTGCCTTTAAATAGGGACATGAAAACCACCTGGGTTTAGAGGCTTAAGTTAGCTACCCAAGTCAGAAGACAAGCATCCCTCCATAGATTTCATGTACAGTCCATGGAGAAGGCAGTTCAGAGCAGGAGCTGATACCTGCACGTGCCTACCTTTTTCTCTATATATTTGACTGTATTAACAGGTTTACATAGGCAATTAGTTTATATGCATAATTGAGACTCTACTCCAAAGTCCTCTGAAGTCAGTCATCGTCCTTCTTTTGGGTTTTGGTAATTGTATTGGCCAGTGGTAATAAATTAAAAAAAAGAAAACAGTAATGTTTGTATGTGGTGCTAAGGGATGAGTGGTTGGTTGGTCTGTTTCTCTGTACCCAAGATAAGCATGTACCATCATGTAAGAATATAGTCATTATATTTTCAGACAAGCTAAATTACAGGTGTAGTATCTACTACATTCAGATTGAAAGGCAACTAGTCCTGTAGAGATCACTGAGAAAAAGCTTCTGTCCATAGAAGCCCAAGAAATACAATAGCACCAATGCAAAGCATCTCATAGCTGAATTCCTTTTTCTGCATTATCTGTTGCAGTCCTTTCTCAATACTGTGATGTGCCTATCCAATGGCCTTTTCCTCAATCATCTTTAAATGCGATTTCTAACCTGGCTAAAAATCACTGCTGTTTCACTATCAATGAGTAGTATAAGCTTTAATTAAAACTAGTGTAATTCCTTTCATCAGAGTTCTGCTAGGAAAGATGGGCTGGAGCAGACAGCATGCTAAAATTTATGGTAGCTATTATTTCTCCAATTAGTGTATTACTGAAAGTAAAGTAGAAATATTGTTACAGCCATACTACTTTTTAAATGTTTTTCATTAATATAGAAGTCCTCCCTGAGCTCCTCTAAAGCAATACATATGCCCCCAAACCCTGGATGCTGTCATCCATCGCACACTGGTATTTAAAAGCACAAACTGATATCCCTAATTGCTTCATTTGCAATTTAAAGATGAATCTGTGCGCAAGCCCTTCCCTGACTTTCCAACCCATTGATTCCAGAAGGTGTTCTGTTTATTTCGTACGTTCCTGTTTAAAGCTGCCTAAGAGGAATGACTGGCAAAACTTTTTGGGCAATGAGGAAATTATTTCTGTTTTCTCTTTCAGCTTGGTTGCTGGAATCCCATCATTGGCCTGAATGGGTCACTAACAGACAGAAAGTTGGAGAATAACATGCGAGGAGTGGTTCTGCGTGTGGTGACTGTGCTGGTAAGCAGATCTTCATCC